CGTCCGGAATAGGTCGGAGGGGGATTTGCTCGCTGCTGGCCGGCTCATCTTCGTCAAAACGTGCGTCGAGCGCAATGGAGTCGACCTTTGGTGGAGCCTTCTGAGCTTCTACCTCAGGAGATGCTGCGTCGGGCTCTTGCTTTGTCTTCTTGACGGGCCTAGTGCTGGGACCCACGTCGACAGTATCCCGACCCCTTGAAGCGGCGTTGAAGCACCGGCGGGCAGCAGCGAGGTCGCCCTGGATGGTGGCTACCCTCCCCCTTTTGGTATAGAACTTCATCTTTAGGTGGACAGTTGAAGGGACCGCTGTCAGTTCCGCCAGTGTCGGCCTCCCCAGGATGCAATGGTACAGGGATGGGCAGTCAATGACGAGGAAGCGGACCTTCACCTGTCTTGTAGCAGTATCTTCCCCGAATGTCACGAGGAGCTCGACATATCCCCAAGGTTTGGACGTCGAGCCGTTGAAGCCTTGAAGGTCCGAACCTATGTATGGAGACAGATGGGATTCGTCCAGTTGTAAGGTCCGGAACAGCTGGGTGTACATCACGTCGACGGAACTCCCCTCGTCGACCAGGATGCGATGCACATCAAAATTAGCCATCTTCGCCCTTATCAGCAAGGGGATGACTGCGTTCGGTGCTCCGCCGAGGAGCTCTTCCAAGTAGAATGTGATGGGTTCTGACCTGCCCCTCACCATTTCAAAAGTCACAGTTTGAGGAGGAGCTTTGTCGACCAGTTCGTCCAACTTTCTCTTGGCTGAGTTGATGGTGAGGTCGCTGAACCCGCCCCCGTTGATGACCATGGCGGAGGGGAAGTATTCCCACCTGCTGAGTAGTCAGGGGCTCCTGCAGGAGCTCGGGAAGTTCGAAATCCTCGGGCCTGGTTATTGCGTAGGCGGTCTGGATTGGCACCGACTCGTCAGATGGTCGGGCATCTTCTTCAGGCTCCTTTTCCTCGCGGGCTTCACGACGGGGAGCGTCGTTTCTTCTGTACTGTGCCAGTCTCCCTCCTTTGATGAGGGTTTCAATGGCGTCCTTCAGGTGGACGCAGTCCTCTGTCAAGTGACCATGACTTCTATGGTACTGACAGTATTTGTTTTTATCGACTCCTGGCTTGGCAGGAGCTGGTCGGGGACGCTTGACGCCACCGTCCTTGAAATCTGTGTTTGCACACTCCGCCAGAATGCGCTCGCGGGAAGCCGTGAGCGGAGTGTACTCAGTAAACCTGCCCGAGGGGCCCCTTTGTTCCCGGACCTCCCGGGGTCTGTCTTCCTTCCTCTTCTCTCCGGTGCGTCGGGGAGGAGGGTCTTGTCTCGAGCTGCTGCCGTGGTTGCGAGCCCTGGAGTCTCGTGCCCTGTTGGCAGCTTCTCTCTCCTCGTAGTCCATATATGCTCGGGCTTTGTCGAGGAGAGCATCGAAAGTTGCAGGTGGCTCGATGCCTACAGCTTTCCTGAATTCGGTGCCGGGGAGGAGGCCCCTCTCCAGCAAATACCTCTTCATGTGGTCCGCGCAGGGGACCTGTATTGCTTCCCGGTTGAAGCGGTTGATGAATTCCCTCAAGGTCTCATCATGCTTTTGAATGATGGCCTCGAGGGCTGCCTCAGTCTTTGGATGGCGACGAGACGCTGTGAAGGAGCTGATGAACTGGTTCTTCAAGTTCCTCCACGAGGTGATGGAGCCCGGGGCAAGTCCCTTGTACCAGTCCATGGCCGCCTTCCTGAGAGTTGTTGGGAAGAGGCGGCACTTGATGGGACCCCCGACATTGTGATAGTGGAGCATGGCTTCGAACCCGTCAATGTGGTCGACTGGGTCCGCCACTCCATCATACTCCTTTAGGTGTGGGGGCTTCTCCATGCCCGGGGGGATAGGTGCGTCCATGATTGCCTGCGACAGGGGACCGCGGGGGTCGTCCTCGTCGCTCCTTTCTGGAGAAAGAGAAAGGGTCCTGTAGTTGTGTCGGGCACGGTGTTCGTGCTGGGATTCCCTTGAACGTGATGTTCGGTGGGCGAAGGTCACATGTCCGTCTCTGTTGTGCCTCCGTTCGTGTCTTGAGGCGTCGCGAACGGGATCTTCGGAAGGGATGACGGGCTGTCTCTCATACTGGGGCCGCCTCTGCTTTGGTGCGGGAGAGGGGCTCCTAGAGATTTCCCTGTAGTGTCTCCGCGGGGGAGTAGGGTGTCGAGCTTCTTCGACCCGAGGAAGTGGAGATGGTGGCCTTTGATGTCTCCTCGGGGGGCGTCGATCATTTTCCAGTGCCCTAAGTCTTTCTCCTTGTGCGAACAGGAGATAGTTCGTCTGGTTGATGGCCGCGAACAGTGCCTGAGTAGTGGCATCTGCTCCGACAGGGGCCTGGACTTCATAGAACCGGGCAGCCTGGCGATAGGCGAGAGCTTCCGGATCGTCTTCGAGTTCTGGGGGAGTTGTCGAGGAGGACGCAGTGTTACCGTCCCTGCGGGTGGGAGGTCCAGGGGCGGTTGTCAGGGGGGCGGCATTGTGGCCGGCACCACTGGGATTGTCCAGGTGCCCATTCTTGTCCGCGGGACCGTTGTTGGCGTCGAGGACGCGAGTGTGTTGCTCTTCACGAGTTGGAGAGGCCATGACAGTGAATGGATTGAGCTTTGGTCTTTGAAAACTGTTCGTTAGACGGGGAAGCTGTTTCCCACAGACGGCGCCACTGATCTGACCTGATCAGAAGGTTTGGACCGTCACGGCTGCTCCGAGCTGAAGGCTTTTTGAACGAGGAGGGGGGGGTACCTGCAAGGCACTCCGATGCTTAAGTCAGTGGGAGTACTAGCAGATAATAGAGTTGAGGTTAGAATTGATGATTACCTGACCCTCTGGAAGCAGAGGGTATTTATAGCCCCCAGCGCTGGGCCAAGGTTCCTTCACTGGGCCGGGCGGATTTGGCCCAATGGAGGAACTGCCAGGTCCTACGTGGGCAGTGGGGATCAGCACGTGGTCCCCTCCCTGGATGTGGTGCGTGAAATGCGGGCGGACAGAGACGCGGTCTTTACGGAGTATCGTTGGGGCAATGGTGACTGAGTCTGCCCTAGCAAGGTAGCTTGAGTCCATGTCGAGCAGTGCAGCGTGATGTCGAGCTCGGTGCCAAGACCCCAAGCTGGACAGCGAATGTCGAGCTGGAAACCAGGGCATAGAGCTGGTCGGCAGTCTGTCGAGCGTGACTTCGTCGCGTGGGCTGGCACACTGGGATGTCGAGGTGGACATCAGGGTGTCGGGCATAGACGTTGTGGTCCTTAGCGAGTCCCATTGGACTGGGCCTCAGTAATGCTTTTGGGCCTGTCGGGCCCAGTCCAGAACAATAACCATTTATAAACTATTTAAATGGATTAAATTTATAACTATAACTACATTTCAATCAAAACCAGTTGTGAATTCCGTTATGGATACATAATCTGTTTATTTTACAATTTTCTTAAAATTATTTTTCAAATCAATTATTTGTAAATTTAGTTAAAAAACTGTTTTTTTAGTTTAAAATATGATTATTTTTTTGAAATCGATTATTATTATTATTATTTTTAAGTGATAATTAAACTTTAAGTGATTTAAAAGAACTCAAATTTAAATGCTGACTAAAACAATTAATGAATTGATTTTGGTTTGCTTCGAATTATGATTACAATTAAACTAATATCACACAATCCAACTCACATCACAAAACTAAAGTTATGTGTGGATACACTAAAATGAATAAAGCGGAATGAAGCACAACAAAATAAAATAAAGCGTAGTGGAACATAATGAAATAAATATGTCATTCTATTATTTGGGTACTTCATGATGGAACATTAATTTTTTTTCTTCATTCTGCCCAAATTAAAAGGTACAAAAAGTGGTGGAAAGTGATAAAATAAGATGAAACACATTTTGTCATATTCCGCTCCATTCCATCCATTTTTAATTAATTTAAATGAAATATAAGTTTTATACCATTACATTCTATTATGCTCTGCTATGTTATATTCCATTAATCCAAACTTAGCCTTAGAGAACATTCCATTCAAAATAGCATAAAGACTAAGTTTTTCACCCAAGCAACCACAAATTGAAAGATGTTTTAAATTCCCCCCCCCCCCCCCCGGTTCACGGTTGAATTAGTTTATGTTACCTTGCCGCCACCGTGCTTTTACTTGTTAAGAATTGATTTTTTATGAAACCACAATTCTCAACTTCTTGAAATGAATTCTAGAAATCAATTCTCCCTTTCCATCCGTTTTTCTTTTTGCCCTTACATTGAATATCAATAACTCTAATCATCTATTTTTTGGGTCCTTTTTCGTCATTTACATATCCAAAAGCAATTTTGATAAAAATATTCAAACAAAATTTTTCATACAAATTATTTTTATTATTAATATATCCAAACATAAATCATTTTATATTAAATTAAATTTTAACTAAAATCAATTCTACAAAATAAACTCTCTCAAAATCAATTTTTTTTCCACCACAAAACCAACCACACACATAGAGTTATAGTTAGTGAAATTTGGCATTTGGAAATTCAAACTTATGACTAATTTTACTGGGGTTTTCTAAAAACTAACTAAATAAATTTGAGGAGCAATAACAGTTGCTTATTTGATATTCAAAGATATAACAACAAAAACTGATAATGGCCAATTTTTAAAACTACATAAGATTTAATTGATAAATTTTGTTAATATATTTTTATCATATTTTAAAAATATTTTTTATTCAATTATATTATTTTCAGTATTATCAAAATATTTTATCAAACAAATTTAAAATATAAAATTACAAAACAACTTAATTTTACTTTTAAAACTTTTATTTTTAGTTTTAGGTTTCAAAATGCTTTTAAATATAGATCAATAAAAAAAAGAAACGAATAATGGACTTGGGCCAAAAAACAATATACTTAGGCCCAAAAGATCCAAGCCCTAGCAGTTATGATCTATATATAATTAAGTTTCATCGTAGACTCATTTGTCGCAGAGAACAAATCGCGCCGTCGCCATGGGAAGAAGTAAGTTCTTCTCACCTTTCAATTTTCCCTTTCGTTCTACCCTTTGTGTTCGTTTTCGATGTTTATAGCTGCAACTCGTTCTTCAATTGTTTCTCGAAATTGATAATTAGGTTTTTTCGAAATTTTCTTGTATGATTTATTTGTGAAAATTAGGTTTTGCCGAAATTTGATTTGATTTGATTTACTGGTTTGATTTTTTCATTTTTTCTGTAATTGTTGATTCGTTTGTTATGATTTGAGAATCATTAGGAATCGATGAGTACTTTATAATGAATTGCTTTATAATGAATGGTTTATTATGGATCTGGTTAACTCCTTTCGAGTTCATTTTTTATATGCTTTAGGGTTTATGGTTTTGTACGTTTGTGATGTTAGTTATTGATTTGATATTTGTAGGATTGTTGGGTTGATTATTTCTGTGATTTTGGTTTTAATGTTTTAATTTTGTTTGGTGTTGAATACAGGACCAGCAAGATGTTACCGTCAGATTAAGAACAAGCCATACCCAAAGTCCCGATTCTGTCGTGGTGTTCCCGATCCCAAGATCAGGATCTACGATGTTGGCATGAAGAAGAAAGGTGTTGATGAGTTTCCTTTCTGTGTCCATCTTGTCAGTTGGGAGAAGGAGAATGTTTCAAGCGAGGCACTTGAGGCGGCTCGTATTGCTTGCAACAAGTACATGACAAAGTTTGCTGGAAAGGATGCATTCCACTTGAGGGTCAGGGTTCATCCTTTCCATGTTCTTAGGATTAACAAGATGCTTTCCTGTGCTGGAGCTGATAGGCTTCAGACTGGTATGCGTGGTGCTTTTGGAAAGCCACAAGGTGTATGTGCTAGGGTTGCTATTGGACAGGTGCTTCTCTCTGTTCGCTGCAAGGACAGCAATGGACAGAATGCACAGGAGGCTCTTCGTAGGGCTAAGTTTAAGTTCCCTGGTCGTCAGAAGATCATTGTCAGTAGGAAGTGGTAAGGATTTGTTCTTTTGGATGCTTCCTAGATACTTATTCCTAATACCAGAATTTACAGTATGTGATTGCTTTGGTCTATTACTTCAATATATGATTTGATTCTTGTTTTTTAATTTTTTGTTCAGGGGATTCACCAAGATTGACAGAAATGATTACTTGAAGTTGAAGTCAGAGAACAGGATTCTGAATGATGGTGTGAATGCTAAGGTAATACAAGCTCCATGTGAATTCAATGTACCAATATATTTCGTCCTGCTAAAACATAATTTTCTGTTGATTCCAGTCATTCTAGTTATTTGAATATCTTGTTGAATGTTTCTAGTTTGTGAATATAATCTGTTATGATGAAGTAATTGGCTTTTCAACTAATTATTTATTTGTATGGTTTTGCAGCTTCTTGGATGCCATGGACCTCTGGCCAATCGTCAACCTGGAAGGGCTTTTATCAATGCAAGCTGCAATGCTTAGAGGCTTATCTTTAGTTTTGAAATATTAGACTTTTGATTACTTTAGTTTTGCTACATGGATTTTGAATTTGTTTTTTTCTCTGCCTTTTATTATATTGTTAAACTGAGCTGTTTTTATGTCTGTTTTCAAGACTATCTTGAATTGATGTTTAATGTGATATTTTGTTATGGTTTACTTACTGTTTGTTCTCTTTACATTTGATATTTGAGAAATGTTTATTTTTTTAATTGAATTAGATTTTAGAATTGTTAGCAATTAACTTTTTTTGATATATCCTTCAACAATTTATAATGATTAGTTCATTTTATAAAAAAGGCTCATACATGTTTTAAATAGTCTCTTTGGTGTGATTTTCCAGTTTTCCCAAGTAAAAATGAGCCTTTATTTTGATGCACATTAATCTGAATTCGTTAGTAAGATAGAAAAAAAAATAGAAAACTAAAGCTCAAAAGACCTTGAAAGTTCACTGTAGCTTTTATAACAACGTGAATAAATAAGTCAAAGCGTGAAATTGAAAGTCCACAGTTTGTTCTTTGTGGGAAAACATGACGGAAAGGGCAACTTTGCTAAGGTTTGTTGTTTTGGAAAAACTTCCGTATTGTGGACAAGTTTTAGTGCCACATATTATATCCACTCTGAAACTTTTCCATTCATTTAACTACATTAGTCATACCAAATTTAATTTACCAAATAATTTCTCATTTTTTCTTCAATTAATACGGCCCTATCCAAATTTTGATGACCTCACTCTTCATGGTGTCCTTTTTGTTGTATACCATTTACTTCGATCTAATTTCTGCATCTTGTTTATCAACATCTCTAAATTGTCAATTGGCTTTTGATAATTTAAAATGCATAGTGTAGGCCATTCTTTCAATGAAGAAGATTGGACAAGTTAAAGCTATCAACGATACATATGTTTCACACAGCTAGCTATATCAACGATACATGTTTCACACAGCTAGCTATGTTGTATCGTTTAACATTAGTATAGATCGGCTTAATTGTAATTATGGAATTTATAGTTATTTCTCTTTGTGAAATGAAAGATTAAGACACTTTTCTTTTTTGGGTTGACCATGTCTCCAATACAAAATATTATAATTATGGAGTTTATAGTCATTTCCCTTTGTGGAATCAAAGATTAGGACACTTTTTTTTTCCGGGTTGACCATGTTTCTAATAAAAATATGTTCAATTATCATTCATTAAATATTAGTCACCACATGTGGTGTAAGATACAATTTTGATCATAATTCGCCCTTCTCCTTTTTAATGACTTGTATGTTGGAGTACTAACCTTACAGTTAGTTATAAATACTCTCCGTGCTACCGCAACGGAGATCTACACAACCGCATCAAAAATCTATCAATATTTTGGGTTCTCTAACAAAACAATGGTGCCATACGTGGAAAATGACTATTGATTTCTACGATTTTCCACATCAGATCTCTTTTGATTCAATCCAATATTTTCTGATTCAAACCTCAACCACTTTATAGTTACGCTGAAATGGAAGGAGCAACTTTTGACATCGTTTCCAAAAGTACTTTAAAATCCTCCAATTTAAGACCGCCTCTTATCTTCGTCATGGACACTTGTTCGAGAAGAAAGAATCTCTACCGTATAGTTCTCTCAAATCAACACCGTTAATCTTGAAGTAAAAGAGCGATATACCAATCCCAAGGTTCAAGTCCACGAGAAGGTGGATAGAATTGATAATGCAACACTTCTGTTGATCATTACCAAACCATAACTAATCATTTTCTCTCAGGTAGAGATGAGAATAGGCTAAACCGACCTATAAAGGTCTAGTCTATTTAAGGCTAGGCCAGATCTATTTAAGGTCAGACCAGACCTATTTAATAAAAAGGTCAGACTTAGACTTTTTTTAAAATTCTATTTAATTTAATAAGTCATACTTAGGCTATTAAAAAAATCTATGTAGCCTTATAGGCCGAACTATATATATATATATATATATATATATATATATATATATATATATATATATATATATATATATATATATATATATATATATATATATATATATATATATATATATATATATATATATATATATATATATATATATATATATATATATATATATATATATATATATATATATATATATATATATATATATATATATATATATATATATATATATATATATATATATATATATATATATATATATATATATATATATATATATATATTAAAAATAGTCTAAATAAGATGACTTATATATGCATATATATTAGAAAAATGCTAAATAGGTTGACCTATATATGCATATATATTAGAAAAAAAATATTAAATAAGTTGGTCTACATATGCATATATAGGTCGGCCTATAAGGCTTCTTATGTAATATGGATTAATTAAAAACCTTAATGAAAAATGAGCTTTTAAATAGGCTTTTAGGCCTGACTAGACAAAAAGAGATAGCATATAATAGGCCATAGGCCAAGATCAAGCCTTTTAAATTTATCGTAGGTCAGACTCAGGCCTTCTAAAGCCTAACCTAGCCTATTTCCACCCCTAGTCTCAGGAATCTTCATTGACGATAAAAGTTCATGCAGTTTGATATACCTTAGATTCTTCATAGAGTGAGGCTTAAACAGGCAAGATTTAAGGTTGTGCGAAGGCTATAGCCTTCTAGAGTTCAAAGATTCCCCTACTCATCAATGTGAACATGTAGATATATCAGTTTCCTTGGGGGAAAGGGAAAAATAAGAGGACTGAGACATTTTTCTTCTTTGTGTTTCATTGTAGAAGTGTTTATAATAGAATTCTCAACCGATTATTCCTAGCAGCGTTAGACGCGGCGATTTCCCTCGTCCATCTGAAAATGAAGTATCACAACGATTCTAGCAAGATAGTTGTAGTCCCGACCAACCTATGAGGGGCACATAAGATACAAGAGGCAACACTGAAAATCCAATATCAACGGTCGTTGTCCTTGAGAATAAAAGGAAAAAGTCTTATGAATCCACCAACATAGTCGATATTGAGGTATGTGAAGATGAAACAAATTACGACAACGATTTCGATCACTCGACCATAATCAAAATAACGGTCTTGAGGTTGGTTCCAAACGCAAAATTTGAAGTGATCTAACTAGACGATAACCCAACACGGTTTGTAAGGATATTGGTCGACTTATCCACCGGGGTCAAGAAAGGATTAGTTGAATACTTAAGGGCCAATGTTGATCTAGTCGCCATCTCTCCCCACCAGATGCTAGGCATAGACCCCAATGTGGCATGTCTCTAGTTAAACATCGGTCAATATTGCCCAACACGTGCGCTAGAGGAAAAATAGGCAATCTTTTGAGAAGGCCGATGTGATCATGAAGACGGTCCAGGGTTTTCTAGACGCTAACTTTATCTGAGAAGTAAGGCACACCGAATGACTTATCATTTTCAAAGGTTCATCAAGATCATCTTTTTATGGCCACCAAAGTGATTCAAGATTGCTAAGCATTGCATCATGAAACTAGGGTTTCATTTAGTTTGAAGTTGATTGGTTCGATTGGAGAAAATCAACAAAAGTGCCTAAAAGTCAAAGTTTGACTTTAGGTTTTCTTTGTCAAAATGAGCATTTCAAGTCAAAGGTGCAAGAAATGTGGAATTTGGTTGATGATTATCAAAGAAAATCATGGAAAATCAAGAAGTTTGGAAAATGTGCAAATTGGGGAAAGTGAAAAATTTCTAAGTGTCAAGATTGCATGGTCATGAAGGTGACTTACCAAGCTTATATCCATTTCCTTGATCCACCAAAATTGTCAAACAAGGGCTGCAATTAAAGAGCATGTTTGATACTACAATATGATACAATATTTGAGTTCAAAATCAATCCACAAGTTGTTTAAAAGTCGTGCCAAAGTGAAGAATCAAATTAGTCAAAATTTTCCAAAACACTTAGAATTTTTTCTAAGTGTCAATCAATTTTGAGGTCTTATTTTGGGAGCAACATATCAGATCACACAAGCCTTTTTTCAATAGGGTTTCAAGACACAGATTGTACTATGCCATGCCCTTTTCAATTTGACACCAAAATGGAACCAAATAGTTTATTAAGCATTGCATCATGAAACTAGGGTTTCATTTAGTTTGAAGTTGATTGGTTCAATTGGAGAAAATCAACAAAAGTGCCTAAAAGTCAAAGTTTGACTTTAGGTTTTCTTGGTCAAAATGAGCATTTCAAGTCAAAGGTGCAAGAAATGTGGAATTTGGTAGATGATTATCAAAGAAAATCATGGAAAATCAAGAAGTTTGGAAAATGTGAAAATTGGGGAAAGTGAAAAAATTTGGAAGTGTCAAGATTGCATGGTCATGAAGGTGATTACCAAGCTTATATCCATTTCCTTGATCCACCAAAATTGTCAAACAAGGGCTGCAGTTAAAGAGGACGTTTGATACTACAAGATGATACAATATTTGAGTTCAAAATCAATCCACAAGTTGTTTAAAAGTCGTGCCAAAGTGAAGAATCAAATTAGTCAAAATTTGCCAAAACACTTAGAATTTTTTCTAAGTGTCAATCAATTTTGAGGTCTTGTTTTGGGAGCAACATATCAGATCACACAAGTCTTTTCTCAATAGGGTTTCAAGACACAGATTGTACTATGCCATGCCCTTTTCAATTTGACACCAAAATGGAACCAAATGGTTCATTGGGCATGAAGAAGAGTTGATGAGAAGTCACAATGTTGAACCTGCAGAAACTTGCAAATATGTCCATCTGTTAATTCCAAACTTGCACGATATTTTGTCCACAACATTGTTACCAAAGTATCAGCTTTTTCTATCCAATTCAGGTCACCAAAAGCATGCCAAATATGTCCATGAACCTTATGTCACTTTCATTAAATATAATTCAAATGCATGTTTGCAAGTCAACCCAAATAAATTCTAAAAGGATGCACACTTTAGGCATTGTACTAGCCCATTATACCTGACCTCACATGATCACATAATGCACA